AATTTGGGTAGAAATTTTGAGATAACTTTGTCACCCACTTTGAGAGCCTATAACTTTGCTTAGAAGTTATATTGTACTTAGCTGTTTCTATTATTGTATAGAGGAAATTTCAAGCTTTCGAATGAGCTTAGAAATGGTTTGATTAGATTGGGGAATTATCTAGAGATTTGTGGTCAAAGATTTGGTTTCAAAGGTTTGGTCTCAAAGATTTGGGATTCCAGATCTTAAAGATTCTAAAGCGGGCAACGAGCCGGCTCAATCGTTTCCATTTACGCATTACGAGAAGCATTATATAAAGAGGCGGTTTGCCAGATGGAGAGCGATTAGGTGGCCGCACAAAGAAAACCTCGTCAATCACTTTTGACTGGGTTTTCGATTTCACTTTTAGAATTGCCTAGAAATGATTTAGTTCCAGAAATTGATAAAAATTGGTTTTCGGGGTCAGCGGATCGATTAGAGAGGTTTATTTATAACCAATATCATTGAAATCGTTACATTATGCGCTCCCAATAACGAAAAGAGCCGAAAAAAGCTTACTTTTAATGCTCTATTCACTGTTCATCGATGAGCCATTATTATATCTTTTCTTTCGTCTAATATTTCCATTTCCATTTCCAGCTTTTTCTCCTCTTCATCACCATTTTTCCATGTTCATCTTTTTGCGGTCTCATCGATGAGGGGATCCCGTTTGAATTGGAAGAGAGACGGGGAGCAAAGGTTTGAAGTAAAGAGAAAAAAAAAAGGCATTGTATATGGGAAATATGGGAAGAAAGATCTCCATTTTTACCCATTTTCCCCATTTCTCTTTGCATATTTGAGTGCTGATGGTTGAGAAATTAAGTTTAAATATGCGCAAAAAGTTAAAGTGAGCTGTAGAGAGATTTAGGGATGTTCTAGGCCAAGTTAGCCAAGTTAGGGATAAGCTAGACCAAGCTAGGTCCAAGCTAAGCCAAGCTAGACCAAGCTATAGCGAGAAAATAAGACCTAGCACTGGCCTGGCATAGTAATTTTGAGTTTTAACATGACATGACGACAATACGATTTACCGGTGGACCGTTTTCTAAGATAAGATGTGAGATTTTCTTCAATATCATAACTTCAAATCGTTTTTTCCAGGTCGAGTGCACGCAATGCGTTCAACTGTGGCGTGGCGCGCCCGGGGAAAGGTAAAAGAATAGTAAAAGAATCGAGAAAATAGCGCAAAATCGAAAACAAACTTTAGCTGAATATCTTTAGAAGAAGATACTGTAAGCACTGTACATTTCTGTACGTTTCTGTACGTTTCTTCGTTTTTTTCCAGGCGTCAGCTTCGCGAACGTGCGAGCAAGGAGCGCAAACGTGTCGCGGTGACGCGTGCTTTATGCGTGAGTTGCATTTTGCAGTAGTCGAAAAGAAAAATGCTTATTTTCAGATCAAAAATCTGGTACTGACAACTAGAGTACTCTAGAATAAGACTAAGGGATACTGTGGCTAAGTTTCTATTGTAAATAGAAAGAAAACTGGGGTCCAAGCCGAGCTTCGTTTTCATTCAACCGTTTCTTGACCGATTCCTCGAAAATCTTGTCTAGCCGCTGAGAATATCGATTTCTATCGGCTGTCTCGGAGGGAGGCTGTGGTGCAGTGGGGAGGGCTCTGGTCTGCCACCCAGAAGGTCCGGGTTCGACCCCGGTGCTGCTAATATTTTTTTAGGGTTTCTTTACTGTACAAAGCTTCAATGAAGTCTATAGGGCTGGAAAATGACTCAAAAATACCACATGAGCTAACAGATTTTTGAGCCATTTTCCAGCTCTATAGCACTTCATTGAAAGCTTTTATGCAGAAAAGAAATTTTTCGGCGGCTACGCAAAGGGCTGCTACGCAGGAGTACGCGATGATACTCTTTACCCGGTCTTTGTGGCTAAGTTTCTATTGTAAATAAACAGAAAAAGTCGAGTCCAAGTCGAGCTTCGTTTTTATTCAGCCGTTTCTTGGCCGATTCCTCGAAAATCCTGTCTAGTGTAGAGAATATCGATTTATCGGCGGTCGGCGAGGGACGCTGTGGTGCAAGTCGGGAGGGCGCTGGTCTACAACCCGGAAGATCCGGGTTCGACCCTGTGCTGCCAATTTAGACTAACTTCTTACTATTTTTATCTAAAATAGTATATATATAATTCGATACAGAAATTTCAATATTTCTTCTAGGATTTTATCAATTTCAGGTCAATGCAAGCACTGCCCAGTCTATCAATTTTTCATGGGCTGTATCACGCTCACTCCTTGGCAATTCGCCGATTTACAGGTGCTTTAAAGGAGACCAAAAGATGGATAAAACTAGATAGCAAAAAGCAGAGTGCTATTTTTATCTAAACTTTCAAATAAATTCACTTTTAAGAGCCTAAGCCTAAGCCTAAGCCACCGTAAAGTCACTAAAAAGCTTTGAGCGCAAAGAAGAAAAAAAAGAGAATTTTTAAAACTTTAAAATCAACCTTTAGCTCTTAAAAATGCTGTTTATCTTTAAAAAAGAAAGAAACAAATATTAATTATGCAAGGCTACAAGGAAAGCCTCAGAGTTACTGTATCACCGAGTCGGCGCGTCGGGGATTCTTTGCGAGGATCAACTCAACCAAACGACGTGCATCTGCAACAGGTATCTGTCCTTTGTGCTCCACGGGAAACGCATCGCTTCTGGTGCACTCGGTAGACTCGTATCTTGACCTAAATGAAGCAATAAAAGATCTAAATTTGATCTTTTAGATCTAAATTTGATTCTTCCCGTAATCCCAGTGACAATAAGCATGTACTTTGTGCTCAAGCTAGCAACATTTAGCGAAACGCACCGCTTCTGGTGTTCTCGGGGATTTTCCGTTTTTCGGAATTTCGTTTAATTAGTGGCTAAGTGTGCAAAGTGTGCTTTCGGCATTTCTATTTCATTTTTTTCTAGTCGCTCGCAATGCAATTCGATTCACACAAGGATCCCGCACAACACCTACACCGAAGGCCTCTTCACCGGGATCATCAATTTCGATCACGCCATTTCGAAATTTGAACCAAGGTCTTGAAAAAAGTGATAGCTATGAAGATCTTTAGATAGCCATGAAGGTCTTTAGATAGCTATGAAGGTCTTTAGATAGCCGTGAAGGTCTTTAGATAGCTATGAATGTCTTTAGATAGACATGAAGGTCTTCAGATAGCTATGAAGGTCTTTAGATAGACATGAAGCTCTTTAGATAGCTATGAAGGTCTTTAGATAGACATGAACCTCTTTAGATAGACATGAACCTCTTTAGATAGCCATGAACCTCTTTAGATAGCCATTAAGATCTTTAGATATACATGAAGGATCTTTAGATAGCCATTAAGATCTTTAGATAGCCATGAAGAAAACGGCTTTCTTAAACATTTCTTAAACATTGCCTAAACCTTATTACCGTATTTTCTGTAATAGTAGTGGGCACTACTATTTTTTTCAATCCCCCTCCAGCCTGTACTACTATTATAGCTGAATATCTTTATGAGTTGAATATCTTTCTTTATACTGCACTACTATTACAGGAAATACGGTAATCGACTTGTAAAGTTATTCAAGCAATTCGATGTGGGGATTTAAAAAGATTTCTTGCTATAACTTTCTTCTAAATCGGCTTTTCTTTATGATCTTTTTATGAATTTAGCGAAAAATCTTGCGTTAGCGTTACTTTTTTTCTACTTAGCGCTACTTTTTACTACTTAGCGCTAACGCTACTTAGCGCTTTTTCTACTTTTTCATAACTTTTCTTTCAAGTCAGCTAATCTAGATCGAAATTAAAAATTATAAGATTAGATCATTTAGGAAAAAAGTTATGAAAATGAAAATTTGAAGAGAAATCAACTGAATATCTTTATGAGTTGAATATCTTTGTTTATAAGCTGAATATCTCACTCAAAATACAATTGCCCGTCAATTTGTGAACTCTTTTCAACACTAGAATCAATGTTTTAAACATTGAGATTAAACATTTAACGATAGAAAATCGAGATCTTTTTCAATGAAGCCATGAAGCTCTTTAGAGAGCCATGAAGAAAACGGCTTTCTTAAACATTTCTTCAACATTTCTTAAACAGTGATTTGCTTTCAGATATATGGATGTGATCACCGGCTATCAGCATCGTTTCCATCACGTAAACAGTGTGCAAAAGTTCTCCCCGTTTCTAGTCATCATTTTCTTTGGATTTCACATTTTCTTGTAAATATTTGTTTGCTCATTTGATAAATATTCATTTTTAAAAGAGAAAAACATTCAATTTTTATAAAAAAACAGAAAAAAAAACTAGAGTTAAAGCTTTAAAAAACAAAAAAAAAAAAAAGAACAAAATGATGAAAATTTTCAAAGAAACCGGGGATGGGACAAATGCGATCTTTTTTTTTGCGCACCTGGACATTTGCGCACCTTAGGCAAGGCCGTAGAGCTTCGAAAATATTTCCATATAAGGGAATCGTATGCGTAGATTCCGAATTTCTAATTACTGAAATTCTTCTTCTAAAAAGTGACTGTATTTAGAAAAAAATACTCTAATCTCACCATCAGTTTTCATTAAAAATAATCAATTTTTAGATTATTAAATCTAAATCTTATAATTCTCATTTAGAGATTAAACCGATTTAAACTTATCATTTTGTTATTTAATATCTTTGACTTTAGTGAACTTAAGAGATAATCTTGTTTGTTAATTTCTCAGTTGATTAAATGACGATGAAATGAACTGATTGATCGTTCTATCGTACTAGCTATTCCCTAAAAGATCCTTTAGTAAACTATTAGCATTTGATCAAACTGGATTATCACAAATCGATTTGCAAGCTTTACTTTACAACTTTGTCATTTAGCTTTATCATTGAAGCTTTATCAAATAATAAATGCATGTTCAAAGCTTTGCCGAATGCTCTTTTAAAGGGCCGTCGAAAGGAAATTTGAGAAAATCGGCGATGAGATGCATTCGATCTGAACCAAAGAATGACTCGGATTCGCCTGATGGAAGGGTCACGATCGTCCACGGAGCGCCGAACGACTAAAAATAGAGCTTATACGAGAATAAGTAATAAAAGAAGTAGCATCGACTACACGCAAGCAATGGTCGGCTTCGCGTCAAAACTATAAACGACTGTAACTTTCTTTAGCATTAAGATTTTTGGTGTACTTTAAGCCATTCGAAAGCCCTTTAGATTCTCACTTTAGATTCTCTATTTATAAAGCTTCTAGATCATGTCAATACGGCAGATTTGAAGAAAGTTAGAAGCGTTTTTTAATGTGACAGTTCGTCATTTTTGTAGTTTATAGTCTCCTATGCCTCACTCGTAGTGAACCTATTCTCTACTTAGTGCCTTTCTCGTATCACCTTGGAAGTTAGAAAAAGAGATGCGGCTAGTTTTCGCGGAAAATAGCATTGTTCAGCTTTTTAGCTTTACGAAGTATAGTGTTCGATAAATACCGATAGAAACTAAACTAAACTAAAATTAGCTTACCCCACTCTCCACCGCTTTTTCTACATTCTCTGAGATGATTTTCTTGATTTTCTCATCTTTCATCAACGTGAAAACTTTCGTTGGATTCTTCAAATGAACAGCTTTCGCAACCTGAAAGTTGGATTAAAAAAAGCAATCTTTTAACAAAGTTAAAGTGGATGGATATATGGATAAGATACCATACTTTCTTTGGCTTTAAACGATGACCTTTTCATTTCATTTTACGCTAAAAATGGTAGTTAGTTTTTATTGTCCATTCACTTGCGAAACCGAGAAAATTTCAGCCTTTATCCAGGGCAAATGAAAATAAACCTAGTTTTACAGTAAACCCTTGTGGCATTGTTAATGCTAATTTGCTAGGCCATCTTACTGTAATCTCTATCCAATTTTGGGTCGAACTTCTCTTCGAAATCCTTTGCCTCGAAAACCCCCTCTCCTCTCATCCAGATTCGTTTCCACAACTCGCGAGACGTTTCTTCCAACTAGAAACATTTGAGTATAAAGTTTATCCGAAATTTTTACGTTATTAGATATTGTTACTTTTTATTTCTGTCAGCTACCATTTGTTTTTAATTAAATACCTTTTTCAGGTTCAGGTGCCTCAGCCACCGCCGCTAGCATCCTTTGCGCCTGAATCGTCGTTTGCCCATCACGATCTCGGCAACGTTCTAAAAGTTTGGATAATAAAGTAAAAAATGGAACCTAGGGGAAATTGATCCCTTGACCTTCTTGCTTATCGAGCAGATCCTCTCCCACTAAACTATCGGCGCCTTCTTTGATCAAGAAAGAGGAAGAAGAAAGGAAGAAGAAAGGAAGAAGAAAGGAAGAAAGAAAGAAAGAAAGAGTTTAACTTTAAAACATATGAAAAACCTTTATGAAAACTTTCTGACAAGTGTTCTGTAGCCCATTCTTTAAGTCTTGCCTTAAAAGTCACGATATTGCCTTCCTGTGATTTGTCAGAAAAGTTGGCGCAAAATAGAGAACATCGAGAGCCTAACGCTACACCAGATTACTGTCAATTTTCACAAGTTAAGGGATTTTTAAAAGTTTTTCCTGATCACTCACCGACGGCGCTTGCAGCTTCAACCCCCAATATCGATTGTTTTTCTCCAAATCTTTCAACATGTAAACACCCTTTGACGGGACGGTCATCGGTGGACGATTGCCTGAATATCTTTTGATAAACGGATGGTATAAATCCAACTCTCACCAGCTGATTTCATGATTGCTCCCAAGTAGAATGGCTTCAGCTGAAGCTCGATTGGCCAAACCTAAAAGTTTTCAAATAATTCATATTATCTAGGTTATTGTAGCTGTACTATATTGTAGAAAGGAGGCTACTTTAGCTTATCTATTTAATCCAAAATGCTGACCACCATGAGCCGTTACACACCATTTATTGCAATAGTCGGTTCCTGATTACTGCAGCCTATCAGCTTCCTATAGCTTCTCCAACCATTAGCACTTGCTTATACTGCCTATTGTAACAGTGCCAAATATATCAACTATCAGATTACTATAACTCGTTAAAAACCCACCTTTGTATATCGATTCCAGCGCCTCGAATTGAATCCACGAATACGGAGAGATGATATCATAAAATAGCTCCACCAACGCTTTCTTCTCGCTCATTTATCGCGACAGAGGTTGCCTATAAAAAAAGGCTTTTTTATTTTTATGCAAGAAAGAGTAACAAGCATATAATACAATCATACTTTATATAATATAATCATAACATTCCTAAAGTTCAAGGTAGGCACTTCGGGAAAAGTATTATGTTTCAAACTTATTCAAATCCTTACTCAAACTCCTATCTTTTAACCAAAAAACATTCATTCCAAATGGTTTACGAAAACGAGAGAAATAAGAAGACGATTCAGTTGGATTCACACTGAAAAGTAGTTAGATTTTTGATGAACTTTATCGATGCTATTTTATTATTTATTCTTTATTAGTTTATTGAGGTCAAAGATCAACAATGTGAAAGAACCGGGGAAAGTACAGAAATTCGGAAAACTTTAACAATTTAAGAGAAATAGGGAGGGAATTTTAATAATAAACGAAAAAGTACAAAAAAGTTTAACGATTTTCAAAGAAAGAGGAGGGAAATTCGCGCAACAAACAAAAAAGTTTAATAATAAACATAATTATATAAAAGGGATAGGGGTAGGCTAACTTCCGTAATTTTTTTGCGCAACAGGGTCATTTGCGCAACTCGCCATAACTTTCTTCTAAGTCGGCCAATCTTTATGCTTTTGGTTTCATTTTGTAGATCTCAATAAGTGCATTTTGATTTCATTTTGATCATTTCATTCATTTTGATCATTTCATTCATTTTGATTTGATCTTTTGGTATCCGGGGTCTTTTTTCATCCAGGGGGTAAAATTTTTACTTTTTTTAACTTTTGACCATTCTGCTACTTTTATCAATCTTTGCACCTATCGCTTCTTGTGAGTTTAAAAGAAGAACGAAAATATTGCTCATCATCTCGATTAATGGTCTAAAGATCAAACGATTAACGCAACTTTCGTGAAATTTTACATTTACCATAGGCTTTGTAACTAAATGAGTAAATAATTGAAGATGCGTAAATGACCCCATAACTTGTCATTAGTCTGTAAAAATATAGCAAAGTTGTGGGGTAGGCTACTTTGCGCCAAATTTTTGCGCAACAGGGTCATTATCAGCAACTCGTCATAACTTTCTTCTAAGTCGTCCAATCTTTATGCTTTTGGTTTCATTTTGTTGCACTTATTGAGATCTACTAGATCTACAAATAAAATTCAATTTGAATACAAATTCAAAAAAGCCACAGAACCTAGAAATGTGGGTGGTTACTTGTTTTTTCTTAATGCAGGGGTTATATTTTCTTTTCTAGTCGAGTGAGTTTTTATAGTTTTTGGTACCATTTTTGTGGATCTCAATAAGTGCCAACAAAATGGCACCAAAAGCATAAAGATTGGCTGACTTAGAAGAAAGTTATGGCGAGTTGCGCAAATGACCCAGTTGTGCAAATGATCCTGTTGGAGAAAAATTGCGGAAATTAGCCTACCCCAGGGAAAGCATAAACGAGAAAGGAAAAGTATAAACGCTTAAAATACACGGCGAAGCGCGCGGACAAAAAACGACGACATTTTAAAAGACTGAAATTTGATGGGCGAAAAGCAGACGCTGTCTCGACTACGGTAGCTTATGTGTATTTTAGAATTTACACTTGGAAAGTTGCCAACCGGTAATGGAAATGCTTTGCGTGAAAGGTATCATCATTTTCTTCTCTTTTCTTCTCATTTAGAGGGTCGGACAAATGCCACCTTTTTTGCGCACCGGGACATTTGCGCACCTTTTTGCTGGAAAAGGCCTTAGGAAAGGCCGTAGAGCTTCGAAAAATATTTCCATAGAAGGGAATCGTATGCGTAGATTCCGACCCCCGACAAATCAGACCTCGCTGACATGTCAAATTTGGGCTAAAAGGCAAAAACTGCGGAAAAGCGTTAATATAATAAATAATAATACTTTTATTCAAACGATAAAGTAGAAAGAAATCATAGAGAAATGCACAGTGATACTTAATCATACAATACACTGAAATCAATAAGCTAATTACTTACGGCAAAGAGCCACTAGATCTAAAGCATCGATACGTTTCTTGAATATGAAAAGCGACTGAATTTCTCGTATGTCGTTTGGGAGCAAGTTCCATAATCTAGCGGCTCTAACGGGAAATGAATTTGATAAAGAGGCATTGGAAGCAAAGGGAATTTGGTAAAAGGAATGAGCCACTTCTTGGCCTTGACTGCGGGTTTGAAGGTGAAAAAGTCTATAAACAAAGGGCTAATCTGTTGTTTATGGAGGATTTTGAAAGTTTCGACCAAATCAAGCACAAGCGACGATGCTGTAAAGTTTTAGTAGTTCAAAAAAGCTAGTCTCTCCCCATAGAGTAAAGCTAGAATATTTAGAATGAATCAATTTTCCATAAAGCGACTTTTGTGAACCTCCTCTGAATTTTTCCAAGCGTTCAATAAAGACTCAGTGCGGAGACCAAAATATCAGAAGATATTCTAAGATGGGCCGAATATGGGTCGTCAAGCATTTGCGGTAAGAGTTTAGGTTAGGATGAACAATTGATTTGAGAATACGGCTAGAAACAAAAGAAGCTTCTGGACAAATGATTTCAATATGTTTAGTGAAATTAAAAGGGGGAGAGATGTGGACACCCTTAAATCTCTAACAAAAATCTACTGATAGGAATATTGTTAATTACCAAAGAGTTAAGTTGCGTAGTTTTGTTTTTAACCTGAATTTGACGTGTCAGCGAGGTTCGATTTGTCGAAATTCGGAATCTACGGCTACATGATTCTCTTATATGGAAAAATTTTCGGAAAGATTTTCGAAGCTCTGATGGCCTTTTATAAATTCTGCATCCCGTTAAAGGCAAAAATAATAATTTGTTTTATTGAGAATCGGGGAATTTGGCAAAAAAATATGGTGAAAATTGTGAAATAAGCACTTAAAAATGGCCAAAAACAGCATTAAACTAATAAACCAAAAGAAATAAGAAAGCAAAGAACTGATCTAAGCCGAACTTGTGTTAAAAGTTTGTTTCTGGAATCTGTATCGAAGAGAAGAGAAGAGATCATGTCAATAGAAATCAGTTCAGGATATTTTTGCTTAAGATTGTTATAGTTAAATGCAGTATAAATTACCGTATCCTACTGGATTAAAATGAAAGAATGTTTGTCTGGGGGGTGGACAAATGCGATCTTTCTTTTGCGCACCTGGACATTTGCGCACCTTTTTTTTGTTAGGCAGTTCCTAGGGTAGCTGCCGATATGAAAATATGCGCCTTCCAGGTCAGGTGTTTTTCCCGCAGATTCTGACTCGTGACGGTTCAGTCTCAAAGGATGACACGTCAAATTTGTTGCAAGGCAAAAACTACGCAACTTAACGCTTTTCCGCAGTTTTGCGTTTTAGCCCAAATTTGACGTGTGTCAGCGAGGTCTGATTTGTCGTGAAATTCGGAATCTACGCATACGATTCCCCTTCTATGGAAATATTTTCGAAGCTCTACGGCCTTGCCTAAGGCCTGCTGAATATCTCTTTGTTAGCTGAATATCTTCCTTCATTAGCTGAATATCTTTCTTTATTAGGCTGAATATCTTCCTTCATTAGCTGAACCTCTTTATTTCTCGGCTGAAGCTCTGGTACTTGTGGAGTACCCGGGAGCAGCCTTTTACCCTAACTTCAACCTATAATTTAGACCATTTTTTTAAAACTCAATTTCTAAAATCAAATAGATTTAGAAAGAGCATTTTTTTAAGCTTATTCAAATGTTTTTTTAAAACTTTAGAATTGATCAAAAGATCAAAGGTAGGTTAAAGTTAGGTTGCACCAATGGGATAAGCACCGATAAGCACCGAATTTCTTTCTTTTGAGATCAGAATATTTTCTTTCTTTTTTTTTCAATTCAATACCTTTATTTTCTTTTGATAAAACGAGAATTTCGTGTAAGCATTTCCAAAAATTTTAAGTGCTTTTTTGGAGAAATTTCTTGAAGTGAGGTGTTTGGGAAAGAGAAAAGGCATCAAAAAAACCCACTTAAGGTGATTTTTTCTGATTTCCTGGCCTCTTCTCATTTGTTAATTGAATATTTATTGATCTAAAAGCTTTGTTTCATATTTAGTTAATGGACGGGAAAGCGAGACGGGCGTCGCGCCAATCAGGCCGGGCTTGTTTTCTTTTAGTAGTTATAGCGGTTCTCAGCTGCTAAGATCAGGCTAAGCCAGGGTCAGGACAAGCCCAGGCGAAGTCAAGCTCAGGTTTTCCCGCTTCCTTTTGGGGGGCCCAGGTCAAGTCATATTCTGGCCAAGCCCGCTTCCAGGTCAAGCCAAGCTCAGGTCGGTTAGGCTTCCAGGTCAAGCCCTGCCAAGTCACAGTCAGGCCGATCTGGGCTGAGCCGTTCAGGTTGGGTATTCAGGCTTGACCAGGATTGTCTAAGCCGTCTGGGCTGACCAGGAGTTCAAATCGGACCTGAATCTAGACCAGACTTGGACCTAGCTTTCCGACGAGATATTATTGGGCCTGGAGCCTGACCTAGACTCTGGCCGAGTTCTAGCCTTACAGACCAAGCGCTGCTAACGCCTGGCCCTGAGAGAAAACTAACCTCCCAAACGAAAAGCGCTTTAATTACAGAATTTTATCCAAATTTTCATTCAAAATCCAGCTAAATCAAGCCAATGACATCCTCTTAAAACGCTTTTTTCGCGAGGCCTACGAGCGGGCTGATGGGGTAGTGGATAGGCTGCTTGTATACAAAGCTAGCCGGCTATTTTCTCCCTCGGGTTCGAGTCCAGGCCTCGCAATGCTCTTTTGTTTTTTTTGATTTTAACGAAACTAATACAAATATTTTCTCTTCTATACTTCAATGAATAAAGAAAATAAGATGTTTTTCTAATGGTATATTATCTAATCATGATCTAATCATGATTCAATGATTTTCAAAACCGAAAATAAAAACTAGGATCGTTTTTTTTTTGTTAGCAAAGGTTTTCTAGGCAAACTGTCAGCCGAATGTGATCATTGAGTGTCGAAGTTCTCGATTAAAATCTGATAAAAAAGAACGATGTTATATTCT